CACTTATGGAACTTATTAAACTGCAATAATAACAAAAAAATATTGGTATACATACATATATATTTATATATCAGACATGGGTATCCATGGCCCCTGAACGGGATATAAATATTTTATTACCCTATCTATCTATCTATCTATCTATCTATCTATCTATCTATCTATCTATCTATCTATCTATCTATCTATCTATCTATTCTATCTATCTATCTATCTATCTATCTATCTATCTATCTATCTATCTATCTATCTATCTATCTATCTATCTATCTATCTATCTATCTATCTATCTATCTATCTATCTATCTATCTATCTATCTATCTATCTATCTATCTATCTATCTATCTATCTATCTATCTATCTATCTATCTATCTATCTATCTATCTATCTATCTATCTATCTACCTATCTGTATATCCATCGTCTATCTATCATGTCTTCAACAAGTTTAGTTAATAAACCAAGAGGCGAAAAAAAAATCTTTGAAATATCAAAGTTGACCCTTCAAAACCACACACTCGCCCATCCCTGGTATGCATATAAATAACATAATGACTTTTTGCATTTAATTTGTATGTTGACACAACAAATTTTATTTTAATCATAAAAAAATATTTTATAGAAAATACAGAATAACAACATACAACACAAACTTAAACATATAAAATAATACAATACAATAAATGAAGAATCATAAATAAATTAAATGTAGAGAAACAATCATAAAAATGACCATCAAAAGAGATGTTACTTTTTTTAATTTAGGGTTAAAAGAACATCATTATTAACAACATGGGGACCTATAACGATAATTTAAATGACTGTAAATTTTATTTATGTTTATGCAGCTGCTGTCACTTAATTAGATGGACAAATAGTAGTAACATATTTTAAATATTTAAAATTTTTTAATTTATTAAAAAAAAAAACAAGCAAGAAAATAATTCGTTCCAGCCCAACTTTAAGTAATTTGTACCGATCAGCATAAAAAACGACGTAAAATGATTTCACTATGTGTATGTGTAGGTTATTGCTATGACATTTACCCATCGTTGTGTAAATCGATATAGGGATTCCGCACCTAAAGAAGTGGTCATAATTCGAGGCGAAGAACGCAGCAAGCCAATTTCGGCTGCCGCGTTCTGACGGGGAGCATATTCGGGAGAAAACGTTCTTCATCGATCAAAACCAATAGTAATCAGATGGGTGTGGGTCTAAACTACAAGTTAGTTGAGGCAATTACTTTTTTAAATAATTTTTAACGTGTACTGCACCCTGTCATGAGAGAATATTTCGTGCCGCAAATTCTGAAATTTTTTTTCTGCTCACTTCATTTCGTTAAAGGTTCCTTGGGATGATCTGGCCAGATTTCAGATTGGCCTTTACCCCAAATTAGTCTTGGAAAAATTTCTGGAAAATCACTAAACCACCATGAATTTGGAAATGAAATAACAATTTTAAATATTCCAGAAATCAATACAACTTTTCATGAAAATAAATTAAACCTTAATTATCGACTTAAGCTAATTAAAAAAAAAAACAACTAATGACCAAATTAAAATTAATTCATATAGTATTTTTCATTAAGAAACTAAAGTAATCTTAACCGGATTAATGCTTAGCCAGTTGTCTAACCATTAAAAGAAAATGAATGCACAATTTAAAGTTTTTATTCAGACCACATACATGCAATACACAGAAAAAAAAGCATAGAAAAAAAGGGGAGGTACCCCTGCCCATTGATAACGAAATAAAATTAAAGGTCATTAACACTTTCCAAGAGAAAACAACACAGACTACAAATTATAAACTAAAGACAAGTACCATAAATTTTCTACTATGCATTAAGATATCAATGGGTTTGATTCCAAAAACTCCCAAAGACACACACAGACAGCCAGATATGTATGTATGTATGTTTGTATGGATGTTCGTTCCTTCATGCTCACATTAAAATCATCAAAATAAAATAAAGACCAACTGAGCTTTAATCTACTTACAAAGTCTTGAACAACTTTAAAATCATCATCGTGCTCAATTATGTGAGAAAAACTTATTTTTTTTTTCCTCTTACTTATAACTTTGAAAATAAAAGAAGAAAAACCGGGAAATTTTGAAAAAAAAAAAACTTTTTAGAAAATTTATTGATATGACTATTAAAACATTACAACAATAACAATAAATTAAAGAAAAAACATGCCCAAAAATAACACACTTACATTCACATCAAATACAAATGAACGAACGGGTTTATTTAAGTTTTGCTGTTCAATTGTGTTCGATTAGGTTGTTGTTGTTGTTCTTGGGAATTATTATTATCTTAATTTGATGCTCCAAGAGATTCATTTCTTTTTTTTTTTTTTTTCCTATGCTCCAAAACACACTTACACATTCAGGAATACATAATTAAGACGACACACAGCGACATTAAATACAACAACGAAAAAACATAATAACGATAACACTATCACAGCAATAACAATAATGTTGATGACGATGATGATGATGCCGATGTTTGTGTTGTTGTTGTTATAATTATTATTGTTGCTGTTGTTGTTGAGATTTTTCATAAGCCTCTCACACAAAAAAAGAGTTGTGCATTAAAGATGTACTTTTCTATTTTAATAAACAACAACAACATTGTCACTGCAACTGTGTAGGGCAGGGAATTATGGAAAAAAGTGATCATCGTTGAGTGAAGGGGAGAATGTGGGGATTCACATTGATTTAAGAAAAATGGAGTTGATAAATAAGAAACATAAAGAACTGTATCATTGTCAAATGAGTTTGCCGTTTGTTGCTAGTTAGAAAAAAAATTCTTAAAAAATTTAATTACAGTGGGTGTCAAAAGTGGATTTTATCTTCTTAATTTTTTTATCTTTTTGGCAAATTTATTTGAGAAAAAATTAAATATTTTGGAGATATCCCATCAAGAAATTTAGTTTTACAGAAAAAATTTAAAATCTTAGGTAGTTCCTTAGAAGGCTCCAATCGAAAAACAAGTCGAATGTATAAACGGTTATATCCGACTATGAGATCCTGTAACAGTTGTTAGTTCATTTAAAATATGCTATGTTTGTGGGTTTCGACCAAAGAATAATATGTTGTCCGACTCTCGACGTACAGGAAATTACATTCTTTCAGGTATGAGTGCAGTGTAAATTCAACTCTCTTGTGATATTTTTTATACCCTATCCCACTTTAGTGTAGAAGGTCTTATGAGTTTGTGCTGATGTTTGTAACACCCAAAAACATTGGTCCTACCTCCACCTTGAAGTATCAATCGGCTCAGAATCACTCTAGGTCCGTCCGTCCTTCCGTCTGTCTGTGTGTCCATGTAAAGTTTGCAGGCTACAGGTCACAATTTTCAAGATAATTTGATGAAATTTGGCACATACTTTTCATTCGACAAGGACGAACGCTATTGAAATTGGTTGAATTCGGTCCATAATTTTCTATTTTCAACCTACATTCATCTTGTTTAGAGTTAGGTACTTTTTCACTAACACATGCTTAGAGTTAGATACTGGTGTCAAAGAGTCGGCCTACTTATTATACTTAGGTTGCGACATTTTTCAAATTTTGTTGGTCTCTATTATTGTCGTGCATGACATTTCCTGCAAGGACGTCCGATCAGTACGAAATTTGGTAGTATCATTTAAGCTTATATGTAAAAACTTTGTTATTTTGCAAAGCCCTATTATAGGGCTGAGGTTGTATTTGGTCTAAATGAAATACTTGACCATTTGGGGAAACAACGATAACTAAAATCGGCAGAAATTGCTTGGAAAACATTCTAATTAAAAAGTGTGGAAACATTAAAGTTTCCTAAGCTTATGGTGAATGTTTTCCATCGGCCTTAGCATGCGAGTGATGGTTATTGTGGTTCAGATGTGTTGGTTTTTAAACGCCAGACAAAGATAGCCCAGACCAGACAAAAAACTTTGAAAACCAAGAATTGGAGGTGATACTCCGTGAAGGTTTTTGCCAAACTCAAGAAATGGGTGAACAATCATTGACAGCTACTCAAACAGTAATTTCAAAATATTTGCGAGTTTCATACAAACGAAACGAAATACGAATTAAAGCCGAGAGACCTAGAGAGACGATTTTGCATGTCCTAAATGCTGCTGGAACACTATAAAAGAAAATCGTGTTTTACGATAACCCGAACCATAAGATATATGAAGCTTAGGCAGCCGAATCGATACCCAAACCAGATATCCATAGCGATAAGTTAATGGTGTATTTGGTGTTATCAAGAGGTTAAGTCTATTATGATATGATGAAATCTGAGCAGATCATCATATACCGAAAAGAACTGATGAAACTATAAAAAGACCAGAATATGGTTCAGAGAAGAATTTCCGATATTGATCTAAAAAGATGACCATTTATCTTTGCGTGGTTTATATATGTTTTCAGAAAGGAGGGAAGAGGCCGTTACTTTAAACATCTATTTCAAAAGAAAATCGATTCTGTAACTAGATCCAAAAAAAAATCGAATTTGTATGTTAAATACATTGTGTTTCGAAAGCTTTTTATTACGTATCAAAATACGGTGTAACCCGCTAGAATTGTTCGAATAAATTCATTTTTTTCTTTCCAATCAAAATACAATTACTACATATTTCTTTCAACCATCCCACTGTAACTACATACATGACTTCAAAACATTGATCATTTCTAATGCAACAGTATATGATTTTTCCTCAAACATATTTTTATTTCAGGTTGCTGCCACAGCAAAATGATGCAGCATTCATTCAAATAAAAATCAATTATTAAAGGGGAATAGACACAGACGGAACGTAAAAAAATAAATTTTTGAAAAGAAGCATAAAGTGAAGTGACAATCATCATCATCATTATTGATGCTGTTGTCATGGCACTGATGATTGTTAACAATCAAAATGCTTAAAAATGTACGTGCTATTTCTTTGAATAAAAAACTCTATGGAAATATATTTTCTTACTTTTTTTGGTAAAAGAAATCACTTACAAGCAGCATAAACAAAACAAAAAATAACACATTAATTGATTATTCTTCAAACGGATTTATTGGTTTTGCAGGGAAAAAATTAAAGTCATCATTATTATTAGAAATTTCCGATATAAAGTTAAAATTTTCTTTTTAATTTTTCACATTAAAATTTTCCACGGTATATTGCTTAATTTCCTTTAACTCTGAAAAAATTATACTTTTGATTTTGTTAAGAAATTGTTCAGCTTTCTCTATAATATTTTGCAATCTTTCCATAGTTTCTTTTTCACCCTCCAAATGACCTTTAAATCCTTGAGCTGTTTTTTCGATATTTCCTTTAAGATTTAATAGTTTGGCTTGTGCGACCATAAATGCCTCAAATAGACCTTCTGGTATATTGGCCTCGATGTGGAAATCACGACTGAATAGTTGATGACTCATTTTGTTAAGAAATTTTTAAATTTTCTTTTATGTTTACAGCAAATTTAAATTTAATAGAAAATATTTTGATATTTCTTCAAGTCATTCCAGAGTTGACAAGTATTTACACAGAGCGTAGTCTCATATATCGATTTAAACTTGAACATAAGGATAATTTCCGAAGAGTGCTATTTACAATAGCATGGATCAGTTATGGAGCAAGCTCCACAAAATTGGTAAAAATTGAAGCGGTTTTTAGAAAAAAACTTTAACGAATCTTTCTTAATAAGAAGCTTGAACATAAGGATAATTTCCGAAGAGTGCTCTTTACAATAGCATGGATCAGTTATGGAGCAAGCTCCACAGAATAAAAATTGAAGGGATTTTTAGAAGAAAATCTTAAACGAATCTTTCTTAATAAGAATTTTTTTTACGATTTTGAACAATAAACTGATTTTATATAAAATAGGTTGTTATATGATAGGTAGGATCCATTAATTACTGATTCTCGTGGAAATTGGAAGAGGCAACTTCGTTTTAAGAATTGTACTTTATATAGGGTCTATGTTGAAAATTGGTCCAATGTCCGCCATATTTTATAAAACAGTTTCTCAATATATACACTTTATTAATTTGTGCCCAATGTCTTCACGATTGCGATATAGTCTTGAATATGTATTCCGGGAGACTTTAATATTGAAAGTAGACCGAATCACTTTTGACGGAATGCAAAATAGTGTTTTTATTGTACCTCTCAAGATTTATCTTGTTATATATGATAATGAATTCCAACATACATATTTTGAGTCCAGCGATAGACATTCGTAGGGTGGATCGATTTTGATATCATGTGAAAGGGTTTTAATGTCGCAAATATATTAAATCGTGTTACCGTTGAGATATTTATACAGCTCTCTAGCGTGAGATATCATATAGTGATTTCAACCATAAAATGACCTAGTAGACGAAGATGTCTAGATCATTTTAGAATCTAATAAGGATCCAAATTGAGTCTTCAGGTAACAATTTTATCACAATAAGTCCCTAACTGGACATAGCTTTTATATACATAGTGGGGGTCAAAGCTGAGCATTTTGGTCATACATGATTTTTTCAAATGAGTGCAACTTTTCATCTATTGGTCCTATCAAAAATTGTCCAAAGGAGTTTAGATAGCAAACTTCGGTTCTTAACCGATAGAGCTGAAAATTTGTGTTTGCCCTACTACCCAATAGCACTAATCTCGGTGCCAATTTCATCCAAATCGATTTTTAAAGTTGGGTCACTTGACACGATTTAGGTATATGATCCATTTCCGAAAAACACTTTAACTCGCGCAAATTGATTATAGATGCCGGTATAGAGATAAAATGCAACACAAGTAACTTCCACTATATTTCACAACTTCTTTATATAATGGATCCTAAGTTCCAATATAAAATTTTCTACTTGAAATTATTCATTATAATGTGGCTGGTTATCATCGGGCTTTTATTTTTCATTTCTTTGACAGCTGAAAACTGCTCTTAATCCGATTTTTCAACGAAATACGATTATCGTTTCTAAAAATCAACTAAATAATCGAATACAAAAGATTAATGAACTATTGCTGCAAAGGTCTCGTCTAAACTGAAATAAAATTTTTGATGAGTTTCTTAAACAACGTTTCGCAAAAACACTGAATAAAATATAGACAACACAGGGCAACGCTAATTGGAAAATGTTCTGTTCCAATTGATTAGAGAAAGTTTCAATTCAAACTAAATAAAACTAGTGAATAGTTTAAAAACTAATAGTTGTATAAAAAGTATAATCTATAAATGGATGGAATTTGGTATTTTAAGTAACCAAATTAAATAGTTCCTTTTAAATTGACAAACAAAAAGTAAAAAAAGTATATTTTGTTGCCCAGTGTTAGTCTAGTCTAGTTGGAAAAATACATATATTTATATTAATAATATTCTAAAAATAACTTGTTTGTTTTAACATTCATTTCAATTTGACAAAACCGTAAGAAAAATGCAAATTAGAAATTAAAATAGATAAGAAATTAATGAATGTTACAAGAATACATATTTCTTTTAATTGATTAGTAAACATTAGGGAAGCCCCATTTTTAACGTATCTAAAATATTAGTCTTTTGTATATGTTAATGAAACTTTCGCGGTGGGTTTTTAGAGTCTCAAGAATCAATCAAAATAAACATGTTGAGCAAATCCTGACTTTTCCATTGAAATTGAATGTATTGGATAATTTTTTAAACTCTGGGGTATTTCAAATACCGGCTTCGCTAAATTAAGCTTTTTTTATAAATGGACTCTTTGAAATCCATGGACTTTATGTCACATTGCTCATGGACATTGTGACACATTTGAATTTCACTCAAGTTCGTGTGCCATAAGGTCTATGGACATTATGACACTAGACATTATGAAACGCCATCTTCGAAATACCCCAAAGATTAAAAAAACTGCCCCCGGCCAAAGTCAGGCTATCTAGGACACTTTTTTAAAGGAATCCAAAACGGAATTAAAGGATTTGTTTTCACAGTATTTAACAAAAATGTATATATTTGAACCCATAAAAGGGTTGTTTCGGTATTTTGCCTATATCTCCGTTATTTATAGACCAATTTTGCTTATTTGAAATTTAAAACAGCTCGAAAGCAGGTCTAATAGAATTCTTGATGATATAGTTCCCGCAGATATCTGGAGCCTACAGAAAATTTATTTCAACATGCAGACGGACAGACAAACAAACGAACCTATCTTAATCGACTCCGCTATCTGTAACTAAGGGTAATTTCGTGTCAGGTGATCCAACTTAAAAAATCGATTTGGATGAAATTTGCACCAAGGATAGTACTATTGGAAACAAAAAGGGGTCAGACACCAAAATTTTTTCGAAAACATTGAAGAAATAGTTATCTAAAGTCCTTTGGACAATTCTGGCTAGGACCAATAGGTAAAAAGAAAACCTTGTATGACCAAAATGCCCAACTTTGACCGCCTCTAACTCCGACAGTTCTTGACCGATAGAGCTGAAAATTTGTGTCTGGCCTACTATCCAATAGTACTACCTTGGTGGAAATCCATTTTTTAAGTTGGGTCACTGGACAAGAAATTGCCCATATATACTTAATTATATTGTAAAAATTATATGACCAACTTCTCACGATGGCGTATAATAATCGGCTATGTATTGGTTATCGTTGTTTATTCATGGAAGTTTGTATTAAGTTTTTGTGGCGAGACCTGGTTTAAATTTTGGGCTTCGTTACAGTAAACGATTGTGTATTGATGATGCCACTAAGCAAGTCTATGTCACATTAGTGACAAGTTCTTAATATGTAGATTACTCTTATATAATGAAGACATGCTGTAGTTGTTAACTTTGAATAAATTAAATATAAATCTATATACATTTATAAAAATGAATGTGTATTTGTATGTTTGTTTGTTGGCTGAAATTTTCACAGTATATTCCTGTATGTCTGGAAGAGGTTATAGGCTACTTTTTATTTTGAAATTTCAAATGGGCGAGGAGCCACGCCCATATTAAGAAAATAATTAATCAGTATATCTGAGATAATATAACATTTAGAGTCCTCAAATTTTGTCGGAGCCACTTTAATACGTTTATCTTAGAAACTATTACAGTTAGAATCTTGAAATATTGTACGAACAACTGTAACATCCATGTTAAAATTTTGGGTAATAAATTGGCGGAATACCAATGAGGGAAGCGGTACTTCCCATATGAATTTAATACAAAAATTCGTTTATCTGGGAAACTAAGAGAACTAGATTCTTCAAATTTAGCATGAAGAACTTTAATATTTATCTGAACATTTTATAGAAAACAGGGCGGGGGAGGGGGCTTGGAGTCCCCTTATGAATTAAACAGAAAAATTCGTATATCTGAGAAACTGTTACTGATGGAATCTTCAAATTTTACATGAAGAACTTTGACATTCATGCAAACATTTAGAGAATAACGGGCGGACTTTCAATGAGGAATTGGCACCTCCCATATGAATTAAATACAAAATTTCGTTTATCTGGGAATCTAACAGAACTAGATTCTTCAAATTTTGCACGACGAACTTTATTATTCATCTGAACATTTTGGAGAAAAAAGGGCGGACTTTCATCTGGGGGGGTGCTTGGAGTCCCGTTATGAATTAATCAGAAAAATTCGTATACCTGAGAAACTATTAGAGCTAGAATCTTCAAATTTTACATGAAGAACTTTGACATTAATGCCAATATTTAGAGAATATGAATTAAATACAAAATTTCATATATTTGGGAAAATATTAGCTTATTCAAATTTTTCATAGATTACATTAATATCTAAATTAACGTTCGGAAAAATTGACGAACTTGCAATAATTTTCGTAGCATTTCCCATATGTAACAAATTGTATATCTGGAAAACTATTGTAGTTAGAAAGTGGGTTTTTTTTATTTATATTGCTTTTAGGGTAGCAAAGCACACTGGGTATAGCTAGTACATATATATATTTCTTTTCAATTTATTTTATTTTTTTGCCGATTTGTAATTATTGTCTCTTGACAATGGACACACCTAATTTGCTAATTATATTTTTGTTAACTTAATTATTCAAATGATAGTATAGCATTCTTAAGATGATGTATCTTAATGAAATTTATCATTAATGGCATTATTTTATCGCCTAAAAATTGACCCAAATTTTTAATTTTATTTCATTTTTGTATTTTTTAAAATAGTATTCATGCAAAATTTTACCAGAACTTTACTAGCTGTTACCACCAGCATAAAAACAAATAAAATTTTTAAAATGTAGTAAATTCTTTGTTTTATGACCAACTTTAAAAAAATGGTCGATGTGTTGAATTTATCATTTCGTTGGCAACATACATACATAAGGAAATAATTTTATTCTTGTTCGGTCAATTTTTAAAGATTTCTGTCTGTATATTTTTGCACAAAAGGGCCTGAAAAGAAATATCCTATTCCTTTTTATACCCTACACCACTTTAGTGGGGAGGGTATATTGGATTTGTGCTGATGTTTGTAACATACAAAAATATTCGTCCTAGACCCACCTTAAAGTATACCAATCGGCTTAGAATCGTTTTCTGAGTCGATTAAGCTATGTCCGTCCGTCCGTCCGTCCGTCCGTCCGTCCGTCTGGCAGGCTGGCTGGCTGGCTGGCTGTCCATGTAAACCTTGTGCGCAAGGTACAGGTCGCAATTTTCAAGATAATTGGATGAAATTTGGCACGCACGTTTTATTTGACCCAAGGACGAAGCCTATTGAAAATGGTTGAAATCGGTCCATTATTTCACCTAGCCCCCATAGAACAGAACCCCCCGAAAAGGGCTTTTGAGCTCATAATTTTGTTAAATTTACAGATATATCGATAAAATGCGGCACAACTAAGTTTTATAGAAGTCTGGATGACCCTGCCAAATTTCATAAAGATCGGGTCCCATTTGACCCTAGCTCCCATACAAAGTCCCCTTCAGAAAATTACTTGAATGTCCCAAATTAACTTATAAACACAAATATCGCGATGAAATTTAGCACAATAAAATATTATGTAAATATAAATATATTCACAAAATTTTATCGGGCTTGGTCCATATTTGCCCCTAGCCCCCATATAAAGCCTCTTTCAGAAAATTAGATTTTCATCCATAAATTGCTTAAATGTATCGGAACAAGGGAATATTGAAGATAAATGCTTTATTATGAAAAATAAATCACATTTAATATTCATAACTGGTGTAGGGTATCATATGGTCGGCCACGCCCGACTATACTTTCTTACTTGTTTTAAATATTCCTTTAGTACATAATAATAATAATTCAAATCGTTCAAGCGATATAGGTTTATAATATAAACACTATATAGCTAAAACAGATTGAATCGATTAAAAGATTTCAAACGATATATTCTTTTGATGAGTGTTTATGATTCGGCCATGCCGAAAGTAATATTTATAGCCGTTGAAATTTTACACCTTCTTATATATTTATTTGATCAATTTACATGTAAATTGTTACAAATGTTTCTAATACGATATAGATTTGATTGAAAAAATGAGCACAAGTGTGCGTTAAAGCACTTAAATGGAGTTTCGACTTTTTTGGAAATTGTAAAGAAAGTGTAGAAATTTGTGGAGAAACAAGAACAAACATTGAAGTGATTCTTTTGATAATATGCTAATTTTACAGTTTTACAACAAACATGAATGTAAAATAAAAGACAATATGTAATTTAATTAAAATTTATTAATTCGCTATGATGGAAAAAAACTTTTAGAGCCTTAAAAAAGAACATATAAATATTTAGCGAATTTCGAATGAAATGGTCAGTCATCTGCTGAAATTCAACTTTTACATATGTAAAAAATTCTTGAAAGATTTTAAAGTGATAAGAAACTATTAAAAGGATGCGTTGGAGCCTGCTGTTGCTGGTTCTGGCAGCACTGTTAATTCAGTCAGCATGTAAGTTGTGAATAAGTGATTTTTATATATCCAGACTAATTTTATGAAATTTATCTGCAGATGGTCGATATGAAAGAAATGGTCGAAGATATAAACTATATGGCCAACGAAGACGCTTAAACGCTGGAGAAGCTCGGTTTATACCAGACTATTTGAATAACATAATAAATAAGAAAACCACAACAACTACAACAACAGCTAAACCGGAACCCCCTCCAACGCCAACAACACCAACAACAACTCCAACGACGGAGACTTCTCCTCCACCTCCACCTCCTCCGCCACCGCCGCCTCCACCACCACCTCCTCCACCACCAACACCAACAACCAGTCCCACAACAGATCAAACATCACCACCTCCTCCACCACCTCCTCCTCCTCCACCACCACCACCTCCTCCAGCACCATCTCCACCTCCTCCTCCACCACCTCCACCCCCACCGCCTCCACCAACAACACCTAAACCAGATATACCACCACCTCCGCCAGCTTATACACCACCGCCACCTGCTCTACCACCACCACCTGCTCCACCTGCTCCACCTTCAATTCCACCAACATCACCTACACCTAGAGTTGATAAACGCTCTGAAAATTACGAAGATGAGGATTATGAAGATGATCAAGAAGAAACTGGTAGAGAATTATATCACAACTTTATGTCAAAATCTGAAGGTCGCAGATATCAGAATAACTACGATATACTCAGCAGCAATAATGATGAGAACAACTATTTGAGCGACTATGACGATTCCGCAGAAGTTGGACGTGCTTCTCAATCTCGCCCTAAGAGACGACGTCAACGTAGAAGACGAATAAATCGTATTGTTTTACATAATCGTCAAAACCCCCACTACAGAAGACGTCTTAGAAGGCAAAGAGCTAGAAGAAATCGCCAACGCAGAGAAAGTCTTAGACGACGTCGTTTGGCACAACGTAGACGTTTAGAACAACGTAGACGTTTAGCACAGCGTAGACGTTTCGCACAACGACGTCGTCGCTTGCAACGTCGCCGCCGTTTACAAAGACGCCGTCGTTTGGAAAATCAAAGACGCAGAGTAGCCATTAGACGTCAGAATCAAAGACTTAGGCTACAAATGCAACGTATTCAAACTAATAAACGACGTAACGGATGAACGCAATGAAATGAATGACAATTGATTAATAAATTTCGAAAGTATATTACACCCTGTAAACCAAAGAATAAATAAGAAATGAAACTGTTGTCAAAAGTACCTAAGTCTACTGTCATCCGGTACCTAACTCTAAGAATGTATTAGTAGAATTCTCAAGTCAACATAGTTGCAAAAAACCGTATTGAAAAATATTGAAAAAAAAATATTACATTTCAATTTATACTTTGAAAGGTTTCTTAAGATATTTTCCACATATTTTATCTATAAACATTTTATAAACACGTCTATTTGTTTTTTAATCAATAATATTGAAAAAGTAAATTATTTATTTGAAATATCTTTTTCGTTTACCTTACGAAAATTTACAACATTGTTTTTTTTTAGTTTTAATTTCAAACAACAAAAATTCAATGTCAAAAAACAAAAAATATTTTTTTTTCGTTTGTAAAAAATATATTATTTTCGGGCTATTAAATGTGTTTAAATTGTGCAAAAAAATTATAAAATATAATGTTAAGTGATAAAAAATATTTCAAAGTGCTATTATCCTCAAATTTTCGCGAAAAAGTTTTGAAGTTTGGAGAGAGAATAAAATTTTTACATATGTGTTGGATTTACACGGCACTCGTCTGTGAGAAGAGCGTAATGTTATTGTTGTAAAAAAATGACAGCGTTTCACTTCTTGTTTATTCTTTGCTGTAAACCCCATGATTTTTTATTTTTTTTTTTATTTTTTGGACTTAACAAAATGTCCTATAAAGCAGGTTTAGGGTTCTGCAATATATGTATATATTAAAATTGAAAGTTGTAGATGAACCATTAGGCACTCAAATTTGGTTTACATTTTAATTTAAAAAAATTACAGATTAAGTTTGCTATGCCGATTATATATAAATTTTTTTGAAAAATAATATTTTATAAATTTTAACTGTGAGTTAATTAAGTGCTGTCTTTTGACAGTGGTTTCACCTAATTCGCTAATTATGTATTGTTATCTTAATTATTCAAATGATATTATAATTTTTTTTTTTTTAAAGTGTTTTAATGAAATGTATCATTTATAGCATTATTCATCGCCAAAAAATTGACCCATTTTTAATTTTTTCTTTCTATTTTATAAGCATGATCAACTTTGGCGAGATCATGATCCATAAATAATGTTCTCGCTATTGTCACCGGTATTATATTTATATATAATAATAAATATATCAATAAATATTACGTTTCTTAATGTTTCACTCTTTTGTTTATGCGATTAGTTTGCATTTAAATTGTTATTAATATACCAAATACGATATGTTTTTGATTGAAACTGATGATCTAAAATATGTTTGAAGCAGGTCATTTATGCTTATTTTTGGAATTGGCAATTCTGTGTATTTGTAATTTACGTAGATTCTAAAGAAAGTGTTGGAATTTCAAATGAAACATTTAAGTGATTTTGCGAAAAATATGCAAATTAATAGTTCGATTTTGTTAGTATTATTGCCAAATATGAATGGAAAATAAGACAAAATTTTAAATTAGTTTAAAATTCCCTGTGTTAGAATGAAAAACTATCATGCGCAAAAAAAAACATATAAATATTTGCGAATTTGCGAAAAAAGTATCAGTTATTTGGAGATGTTTAACTTTTCAATATCAAACACGAATTCTTGACCAACATAAGGTTTGATAAAAAATAATTAAGTAAGCGAAACATAGAAAATATGCGTTGGAAACTGCTGTGGCTTTTTCTGGCCGCACTGTTAATTCAGTACGCATGTAAGTTGTTAATTATGGATTTTTATGAACATTTATTAATTATATGAAATTTGTATGTAGATGGTCGTAATGAGGAAAATGGAAAGGGATATAAACTGTATGGACAACGTAAGCGCACGAATGTTGGAGAAGCTCGTTTTATTACATACTTGTTGAACAAGAAAACAACAACAACTACAACAACTGAAAAACCACCACCAATTCCAACAACAACATGTGAGCCATGTACACCAACAGGAACAGAACCAACAACACCAACTACAACAGGACTGCCACCACCTCCTCCGCCACCGCCTCCACCAACACCACCTATATCTCCACCACCTCCTCCTCCACCACCGCCACCACCTCCTCCACCACCACCGCCACCTCCTCCTCCACCACCTCCTCCACCACCGCCACCACCACCTCCTCCACCACCGCCTCCGCCACCACCTCCTCCACCTCCGCCACCACCACCAACAATAACACCTCCTCCACCAGCTCTACCACCATCACCACCTCCTCCAGCACCTCCAGATGCAGCAGATACAAATGGAAATGGAGATGATGATGATAATAATAATGATATTGATGATGACGATGATGATGATGACGTTCCTAATGTAACAACAACACCAAAACCTAAGCCAACTGTTTCACCATACCCTCCACCTCCACCAGCTCTACCGCCTCCGCCTGCTCCACCTGCACCTCCTGCTAAACCAGACATTCCACCAACATCACCTGCAGCATTAAATGATAAACGCTCTTCAGATAACGAAAATAACGACGAGGAAGACGAAGATGACGATGATGATGAAGAAGAAGATGAATCTGGTCGAGCTTTATATCACAACATAATGTCTAGTTCTAAAGGTCAGCAATCACGTTATAGTAACGATATACTTAATAACGACAATGACGAAAACAACTATCTAAGTGATTCTAAGGAATCCACTCAAATCGGTCGTGCCGCCAGAGCTAGACCCACAAATTGGCGCCGCCGTCGTCAACAACAGGCTATCAGACGTAGAAGAAGAATGCAACGTATCCGGCAACGAAATCGCCGTCTACGTCAACAGGCCATCAGACGTAGACAAAGAATGCAACGTATCAGACGACAAAGAAATCGACGTAGAAGGATACAACGTATTAGACTACGAAATCGTATCAAACCTAAAAGGAGACGCCAAATAATAGTAAGGAAATATCGAAGTGGCAGTGCATCTGTTAGACGTCGTAGTCGACGACAACGTTTAGCAAGGCGCCGTCGTTTAGCAAGACGTCGACGTTTAGCAAGACGCCGTCGATTAGCACGACGCCGACGTTTAGCAAGACTGCGTAGGAACCGTAGACTTAGGCAGCAAATGAGACGGATACAACGGAATAGAAGAACGTAACCCAAATGAAATGTTTACCTGATATATTATTAATAAATAACATATTTATACTTAATGCAGAGATTTTATTATTAATTTATTGTTTAGTGTCGAATCCCTGAATTATTTCAGCATATAAAATGGTTTCCTAATTAGCTTATATTAGCGGCGTGATCAAATTTGACATGTACAACTATTATAGACCGCTCCTTAATTAGCCTTAGCAGTCTTATAAATCGTTAGAAATTTAGATAAAATCTAAATTGAAATTATGTAGACTATGATCTAAACAGGTATTGCTCTGTATCAGAGTATAACAGAATCTATCCATCATGTTACAAAAATCGTATTTCTAAACTCACTATTCATAACTATTAGATACAAAAGCAATTAAATTGCTAAGTCGTTCGACTTTCGGACATTAATAGAGCATTTAAAAAATTATCATAACATGTTCTGCTAGAAAGTTTTGTGATCGTAAAAATTGCAATAAAATTTTTACGATTTTTTTTTTTTTTTTTTTTGTTAAATTTTATTGTTTTCAATTTAGTAAAATTTAAATTTAATAAAATTATGTAGAGTTTCTAACGCTAGTTTAAATCATTGATAAAGTAAAATATAACAACAAATGTTTAGTTAAACTCACTTAGCCTAGCAGTAATAAACTACAGTTACTAAAACTTCAAGGAAATTTAAATAATAACCTATACATACAATTAAATTAATTGTAACAATTCTTAATATATTACAACATTATGCTTACAATAATTATTATTAAAACAACATATATTAATAATTATTAAAATATTTGTATTAAATCAAATTAATATTATTGTTCTTATTAAAAGCCATAGTTTTTAACACTTCATTAAATTCTCTTCAAATAGCTTTTATTATTAATGTTTCTAGTAAAATTTATATGATAATAATTAATATTAAAAGATGAAAAACAATTTAAAATTTAAATCCTATCAATTTAGTTTTTATTATTACGATTATATTTTCATTTCTAAGAACATTTTCTACATTTATATATTTCAAGTTAAAAATTAAACAAATACGTTCATAATGATGACGATGAAGATGGCTACGATGACAACAGCTTTGATGATAAGAATGATGACAAATCTTTTTTGATTTTCCGGTAAATACCATCAACTAGTTGTGTTAAAATGAAGTTTATAGAAACAAAATGAGCGAACTTCACTTTTGTGATTTCTGAAACGACGTTGCCAACTTGCTTTCCATGACTTATTTTATCCTATTTAATACATTTTTTTATGATTTGATTTACTGTAAATTTACTTATGGTCAATTTTGGGCCGATCCTCCTAAAATTTTACAAAGATTCTGGTTTCAATAAAACTTGTTATGTCGAATATCTTATCAACAAAGTCTTATATGAAAGCTTTGATCCAATATCCAAATCTCATAATATTTGACAGAAAGATTTTAGATCCTATAAAACTAGTTCATGACGAATTTTATCGCTATACTGGTATTATTAAGCCAGTTATGGCATCAATCAGTTACGGACCCATCCTGTTAATATTTGTCAACTAGATTTTAGTTTCTATAAAACATATTTATGTCAATTTTGAAGCAAATTATGAACTTTAAAGCAATTTTCTGAGAGTAACCTTACGTCGGGGGTAATGTCAGTTATGGGCCGATCTCCATAAAATTTGGCAGAGAGATTTTAGTTCCTCTAAAACTTGTTTACGTCGAATTTTGTTGCTTTATTTTGAAGCAATTTGTGAGCGTTATAGTTATTTTCTGACAAAAACCTTATATCGGGGGTAAGGTCCATTATGAACCGATCCTCATGAAAGTTTGGCAGAGAGATTTTAGTTCATCCAAAACTTGTTTATGTTGACTTTCGTTGACTTACTGGTATTTTGAAGCAAGTTATAAGCTTTAAAGTAATTTTCTGACAGAAACCTTATATGGGTTATGGGCCGATCTTCATAAAATTTGGTAGAGATATTTTAGTTCCGTTAAAACTTGTTTACGTCAAAATTCGTTGCTTTACTATCATTTTGAAGCAAGTTATAAGTATTATAGTCATTTTCGAAAGGGACCTTATCTATGGGATATGGTCTATTATGGACCGATCATTATAAAATTTGGTAGAGAGATTTATGTTCCTCTAAAACTTCTTTATGTTGACTTTCGTTGATTTAGTGAAATAATTTTCAAAGAGGAACCTTATATGAAGGGTAGGATCAATTATGGGCCGATTTCCATAAAATTTGGCAGAGAGATATCAGTTTCCCTAGAACTTGTTTATGTCGAATAATTTTGAATGAAGTTATTAGCGTTATAGTCGTTTTTCGAGATGGACCTTATATGGGGGGTAAGGTGAATTATGGACCGATCCTCAAAAAAATTGGGAGGGAGATGTTGGTACGGATGTTTTTAAACCAGCTATGACTGTTTACACTGTTTTTTTTTTTTTGGGGGAGGGGGGGGCTGGCCACTTGTATAGGGGCTATGCGAAAACATGGAAGAAGAGCTCCTTAGTTGGGACTCTATCGTGCTTTCAACAGTCAGACGGACAGACATGGCTAGATCATCTTATAATTTAATAAGGACCCAGAATACAAATACTTTTGTGGGGCTGTGGCAATATATCGATGTGTTACAAACGGAAAGACAAAATCAACATACATCCAACTTTTTTGATGGTGGGTATAATAATATTTAATTAGGTGTAAAAAAAATCGGCATCGTTGGTAATTGAATCTACTTATACAAATAAACAGTTATCATATTTTGAAACTTATGATCTTGAAATAAAATTCTGATATCAATACTTTTATTTACCCAAGTATGTAGTATGTTTATTTATCATACATTTCGAAATATCACGGCTACTTAATGTCAACTGTTTTCAGTTGCAACATGCAACAACAACAACAATAAAGTCCCAAAGGAGAACTATGGAGAAATATGTGGAATTGAATTGATAACAATAATAATAAATAAATGATATTGTTACACACACACACTCACACATTTTCCTCATTTAAAAAACAAAACAATCTGTTGGAAAAGCAGGAAAACTAAAACAACAACAAGACGGTTTTAATATAAAGAATTCTTGAATTGTATTGAATTTATGATGACCTTCCGGACTACACAACTAGACGACCAAACGTCTAAAATAAAACAGGCTTCAATGTTGTTGTTATTTCTACTACTATTTCTATGTTTTGTTGTTTTATTTCCCCCTAAAGAGTTTAAAAACGGAAAATGTTTTTTGTTTTTGTTTAGACATTCAATACACTCCTTTTGTAGCGCACAGCTAAAAGGATGTCGGATGCTGTTGCAGTTGTTATTATTGCATGCATGTGTGCCGGTGTGTCTGTGTGTGTGGGATAAAGTCAGGAAGTCGTGAAATTTTTAGAATTTTTATAAATATGTAGTTGAATAACACCTGGGTGCTTGTATGGAATAATACTTTTACACAGTTGCAGTTGTGATGATAAAAAGAGCAGAGTTTTATACCCTTACATTACTGAAACTTTTCGTTTCTCTTTACTGGCGAACTTACACATGGACCAGTATAGTTAGATCTTTTTAATTTTTATTTGATTGCCGAGAAAATATGTTTATTTTGCTCTTTATGTTAACCCATCTGTATGCAAACCCAAAGTGCGTGAGTCGATTTCTTTGTATGAAAAACATTTTCCTACATGATTTGAAATAATTGGGTATTCGAAAACTGCATATAATGATAGCAAAAGAATCACAACATCAAACAGCATCGGTAACAAACGTGTTGTTTTAGCATTTCAAAGTATTTAAAATTGTTTTTTATATTCAAACA